CCACACCTTATACATTGTGTAACCTTATTTCATTATTTAATTATATTACCATCTATAGGATGGCGTCCATGTGGGCGCAATCTTATTTCATCCAGGGGAAAGGGGTGTTGTGTCCTGAGCCTGCATCTTGCAGGCTCGGGACGTTGCAAGAGTCCCGGGCATTTGCAGAAGCTGCCCGGGACCAGACTGAGCGGCGCCGACCTTGTGCGCATGCGCAAGGCGGGAAAAGCCCGCCTCATGATTGGTGGAACTTGCCCGGGGATCAGAGGGTATAAATAGAGGCCTGCGTGCCTCTGCTCTGGTTGTTCGTAGAATGGAGCAAACAATAAAGACTTGTTGGAGATGCTTCGTCTCAAGCGCCATTATTCCCAGGACTTAACACTGCCGAAAGCAAGTTCTTTGAAAGTGACGAAAGTGGATTTGCAAGAGGGAACATCTCAAGAATCGCATTCCTCGGGCCGCTGGAGAATCAGGAAATCGACAACTACTGAGGACTCCGGAGAGTGGAAGTACCTGTCCGCAGCCTGTAGCCAGTTGGTGGAGAAATTGGTGGAGAGGTTCAAGGGGCTAGAGATGAAGAGTGGGGAGCAACCCTCTCACTCTTCCCATGCAAGTAATCATGATGATCGGTGGAGCACACACCAATCCATGCCTAAAAGAAGCCCCAGCCCTGCCTATGGAACACAAGTGGCTTCCCCATCTTTGAAGCCCATTAACCTCCAGCCCTGCAATGAGGGACAGTCCCACCCGCCACTCTGAACGTGGAGGCCCAAGACATCATTGCTCCTCTAGAAGGCCAGATTGCCACAGGTACCGTGAAAGCCCTGATCGTCACTACCATCAGTCACACAGCCCAGAGCTCCACCGTCGGCACCACCAAAGCCCAAAGCCTATGCAGGGGGAAGACTCAGATGTGAGTGTTCAACATGATATAATGCAACAGCTGCGCAATCTGTTGGCCAGGCAGCAACAGGTGAGAGCACCGCAGCCGTGGTGCAACGGGCTGTGGGGGCGCAGCAACAGTGGGGCTGGCAGCAACCTCTGAATCTGCAGCAGCCACTGGGGGGCCTGCAGCAATTGGGGGTGCCGCAGTAACCGCTGCCGGCACTGCTGGGAGGCCTGCAGCAACTGGGGATGCCACAGAAGCTGCCACCAGGAGGTCAGCAGCCGTTGGGAGTGCAGCAGCAGTGGGGGTGGCAACAACCCCTGAATGTGCAGCAACCACTGGGGGCCTGCAGCAACTGGGATGCCGCAGCCACCATTGGGAGGTTGGCATCCACTGGGGGTGCAACAGTCACAACACAAGCAAGGTTAGGCTAAGCTCCATTCATTAGGCAGCTGTGCAAATTGTCAAATAACTCATTGCCTCAGCTCTGTTTAAAGGGCTTTTTACCTAGTAGATGGAGCAGGAGCATATAATGCTTCTAGAGTAGGATACAAATATGGCACCACATTTGCATTTCCAATTATCAAAATGTAGCCTCTGCAGCTCAAGAAGGGGTGAGGGTTCAGATTTGTCAGTGGGAAGATTTTATTTTATTTGCAATATCTTTTGATACTACTAATTCTGGAAAATCAATAATTTTCCAAATAGCTTTTTCTATCACTGGTCTAATAATAGATCTGGGTGGGAGGAATAATTACCAACCAAACTACTTTTATTTTTAAAATAGTATTTTACTGTACTATCTACTTCCATTACATGCAATTTAGTTTGATTTTTAGTTATATATAGGGATACCAAATATTTTAAAAGACTAGGTTCAAAGAAAATGAGATTAAATAAAAGCTTACTCTGAGAGAGGAGAGATCATCTTCAGATTCAATGAAGTCTTGAATAGTATTGCCAACTGGAGTTAACACACGATCAATTACATGAACAACACCATTTGTAGCAATTTGGTTGCCATGGATGATTCTGGCACAATTAACAGTCACAACCTAAATTGGAAGAATAGCATGAATTAACATTTGTTATAAATTTGGCTTCCCAACTTTTACCAAACAAGCTTTACACAGTCTTTTCTTTTAATTAATTTTATAACTTGCTTATGAAACGTGTGCTGCTTGTTTTTAAAAGTTCAGGGAACAATATTAGCTGGAACATATTTTGCAACGGAGCCCTTTAAGTTGCACTTCATTTTGTGTGACTGAAAAAGTGATAGCAATCATGATTACTGAACTACTTTCATATAGATTGTTGGTCTGAGTACTAATCTAAGGATTCTAATAGGATGGGTAAATTAATTAAGATCAATGAGAGATTACCCACATTTGAAGTGCATCAACACCTTGTCCATGGGACAACTAATATCAATAGGAGTGCCCTCAAATAAAGTTCTTTGGACACCATTTTTACATATTTTAAGTACACTGGAGTTTTAAAATATTGTTATTTTTTATTATTTTGTATATTGTTTTCTATTTTTTGAAAATCATTAACATAATAATACATGACATAACTATCTTATATGAACAAATTACTCATATGAATTTCAAGGGAAAATTAAACTAGAACACTGAATCTTAAATCTCTTTCTAAAATTTATGATGTAAGCCACATCCTATTGCCCCCTTATGTTATACAAATAAGCTTACCCCATTGGGATAGTGATTTATATGCAGTTTTTGATTGTTGTACATAGACACCAGAGTCATGCCATTCCGAAAGTCCTTTGTCAACATCCGTTTGTTTACCATATGATTGTGCAGAGCATTATACAGTTCGATGTTTACATTCTCAATCAGACCATTGTAGATTTCCTGGAGGCAGGGGGGTTGAATTCAGGTAGATATTCCATTAATATTATTTCAGTTAGCTAGTGAGGTATTTTTGACTACTTTCTGAATCTTGTGACTTACCAGCCTACTAGTGATTTCATTGACATAGCCACTACTTGGCAACAGTAACAAGTAGCTAAACATTTCCTTCTTCCAGGATAGCTTCAACTTTCTGCTCCAGCCTATGGCGCTGATTTTCTGGATATCTCACAATTAAGTACAAAGCAGGCAACGAGACAAACATGCTACTGCTGCCTAATGACTATTTCAGTTTCCTACTTCTTCTACTAAGTATGCTCTTCTTACAGCTCATTTTCTTGGTAATCTTTATATTTTTTCATATCCCCCTTTTTTCCATCTTTTTCTTCAGAAAAAGTTTAATTATATCCACCCCAACCTTTTCTATTCCTCCCTATCTCATTAGCAAAGGTTTTCTTAGATCAACCTGCCATAATACTTGCCAACTCAACAGTGTCCTTCATATCATTATTATTTCACTGTCAAAAACTGTTCAGTTTCTTAAGCTTTGTCCTCTTCAATTTAGTCTACACCTAGCTTCTCGTATTCAGTTAATTCCATCAGCACTGGGTAATTGGAAAAGCCTAAAACCAGGCAAAATAAGCCTTTAATGAGCATTCTCTCCATTTCAGCATTAATTCCATTTTCTAAGATTTAACGACAACCTGAGAGAGGATTGTGGACTCTCCCTATATGATCTCAGGGCTTTCACCGTAGGTAGAAACATAGGATTCAGCAACTGGAGAACATAATCATCATTTTACTTGTTACATGGTACACTGGAAAAGACATGATTGGTTGTCACAATAATACATTTTCATTACAATAAAATAGACTAGAAAACAGATTTCTGCAGCCTGGTCCTGTGAATTTGAACGTCTGCCTTTCTGAAGCCAGAAGTTGTATTTTAGAAGCTACTGTGAAAATCCAACTTTAAGTTATTGTTCCAGCCATTTTACCTCATGCCTGCAATGCTAAATACTAGTTATTTAGAGCTGTAAATGAGCTTGCGAATATATGTGTATAAACTTAACCATAGTTCCAATAATATGTACAAAAGCTGAGTGTTATCATTTCTTCAGACATAATTTATTTATCTATGGATTTCTTTGTATAAAACATTTCTTTAAAAATCAAAATTGATATAATTACACGATCTAAAAGATTCCAAGCTTCATTGCTTGGTGCAAAGAACGTGTAAGAGCCAGGTCCTTCAATTTCTTCCTTCAGTTTCGACATCTCAGAATAATGTTGAGTGGAGGTAGCTCCTACAATGCCCAAAGTGCCAAATATGTGATCTATTGGAGCCACTGAAAAAGAAAAATAACTTGTAGTTATCCAATTCTTTTCTAAATTAGTTGCTCTTTATTTAGTAAATTATTAATGGAATTTGCTGAAGTATTGAAGTGCTTCCTGTTTTAATGCCCAGATTTTAATGCAAATAAAGTTCCTTGGGATCTTTTGTGTTGATCAATGATTTGAGTAACCTGGGATTTCTTCTGGCATGTGAAATCCAAAGAAGTAGAAAGGGCATTCTTTTACATTATCCTCTGCTGTGTGCAAGCTTGATCTATTCTTATCCTGGTCCAACTTGCACATGGCAGAGGATAATCAAACTTCCTTTTTATGATGTCCATAAACTGCTGAATGATCCAACAGAATAATATCACCAATTTGCCAAGAATACCCAACTTTAAATCAACATTTCAGGTTGTCGGGGAGATGTCATTAATGCCTTATCACAGTGTCTTGAAACTGTCAGGATTTGGATAGGATAAAAGAAGTAGAACTGAACTCTGACAAGATTCAAGTACAGTTTGTACATCAAAGCTCACCATCCACAGCAATATTATCTCTGGACAAGCAAGCAATACCCTTGAAAGAATAGATTCATGATCTGGGAATCTTTTGAATTTATGGTTTCTGCTGGCTAAAAAGGCTTTGGCCCAGCATTGGCACCCATTATGATCCTACTTAGCACAAGATGCCCTAGGCCTAGGTAATTCATGTACTAATTATCACCAGTTTAGTCTACTGCAATACATTTCATACAGGATATTTCAAAAATGCTTAAAATCTGCAATTAGTCCAAAATGAAACAGCCTCTCTTACTGCAGCTAGTTTCCATCATTGAGAACGCACTACAGGCCCTGCACTGATTAGCTTCCAGTTACAATTTAAATATTTTTTTACATAGATGGCTTGGCACTTCTGCACCTACAAGGTTGCCTAGTCCAACATGAATTGCCCTGAAGCAATGAAGCTGTTTGTTGGTGGCAACACCTGTACCCTGGAACAGCGTCTCTGTATGGTTCAGGTTGGAATGATCGTCTGGTTCATTAAAGGAAAAAAAATAGTTCTGTTCAAGGGCATCTTCTAATTTTTTCAAGGCAGTCTTTTTTTCTGTAGATGTTTTAAATTTGTCAAATTAATTATGGTGGACACAAATGTAAAAATAAAAAAAATGGGTTGATTAAATAATTCCATGATAATACCTGCAGGACATCCTCGTTCTCCTTCCATTTTCATATAGCCAGGGCAGCATTCATATAAAACCGTTCTGAAGAGTACCAATACAAGATTATTTTATCTTCCTAAGTCTTAATATTTATTTAGTATCACTTTTAATCTAAACACATTTGAAGTGGATTAGAGGAATTATATAGAATATATAAAATATATAGAATATGTAAAAATATATAAAAACAAAATGCACAATACAAAAACCATATTAAAGCAACAATAAGAACAAATGCATTAAAAGTCTGTAATCGGAGTAAAAGCCAGGAACAAGAGTGATACACAGAGTAAAGTTAAAGCAGTTAAAAAGGGGGTCCTGGATTTCCAGAAGGAGGATAATTAATCTTTACTGAAAACCCTGTATCTGAAATTCCAACAATTTATATTTTGTATTTCATTTGCTATAGGGAAGCTCTCTAAGAATTAAAGCAAAACTAGTTTGCAGTACTAACAGATCCTTAGTTTACCATTTATTAAATAATATTTTGCCCTCAAAATAGGTCATCGCATTACTTAATTGCTCAGTAGTCCTTCAGTACTCTGATTCTGTTCAGGACCATATCCTTAAACAAAAGAACCTCCTAAACTCCAGCAGTCATCCTCCTGCAAGTCATTTATCCAATTTCAATTCTATTTTGCAGTAACAGAAATGGAAGCGACAGGTTTTTATTGCAGTTCTAAGCATTTATAGCAACAATCAAAACAAGCCAGTCTTTATTACAGTCTTTATAAGTTCAAAACAAATACTGTTTTCAATATATGAATGTAGTACAACTCAAGGAATTCTAGGTTCCCATATCCTAGATAGAGCTTTTATATCATTCTAGTAAGATTAATCTATAAAATTTGCTCTCTGAAATATATATGCAGGTAGTCCTTGTTTACTGACAGGAATTGAGACTGGGAATGCACTCATAAGGTGCAACATCATGTGACTTTCCAACAAACAAAATCAATGGGGAAGCTGACAGAATTAACAAATACCCCAATTGCAACCAGGTGACTACAAGGACACTGCAATGGTCACAGCTACAAGGCCCCATCAAAAATACCTCTCAGCATTGCCATAATGAGTGGCAATCTGTAGATACAAGGGCTATCTGTATATTTATTTCCATTTAAATAGAACCATAAAAATCGAGCTGGCTATGCTACACAGACACTATAAGTCAGACATGTCAAACTTGCGAAATCACATGACATCGTGCAACGTATCGGGACTGTTTTGCCATTGCCGACAATGGGGTGGGCGCAGCTTCTGGATAACACATCCGTCCCGTGTGCCGGCAGTTTGACACCCCTGCTATAAGTAATCCACACAAAATTAATAAATAAAATTATAAAGTATTACTATAATTATAGTTAATAGTCTTGAGCAGAACTTACGCTTTCTTTCCACAGATGGCTCCCTGGTACCAGTTCCTGCACGTGCTGAAATATTTCTTATTGGTTCCCATAACTTGCTGGAGAGCACAGACATTTGGCCTGAAGAAAAAGAAAAAGGCCTATGCAAAAAATCCTTTCCAGTGTAAATGTTTACTTACTTAAAATATTTATATATTGCCTTTATGGCTGTGAAAGTAGAACCGTAAAAAAGCAAGACAGGAAGAAAAATCAACTCATTTGGGGTGTGGTGCTGGAGGAAGCTCCTGCATATTCCTTGGACAGCAAAGGTGACTAGCAAGCAATGATAGATTCCTCCAAATACACATTTCTCATAACTATTTCTGTGTACATGTTGAATACTACAGGTAACAGGATGCAACCTCACTGAATGCCTTTCACTGAACCATTCTGTGTCTCCATATTCCATTCTTACAGTGGCTGCCTTATCAGAGTACAATGACTGAATGAGCTGGATGTGGTCTAGTGATATACCCAGTTCTTTGAGGCAGTTCCAGGACTTCTCATAGTCAACACAGTCGAAGAAAGCACATGTAGAAGTATTTTGGATATTCCTTTGTTTTTCCCCTCTTCCAACGCAGATTGGCAATATGATCACATATTCCTCTCCCTTTCTGAAACCCGGCTTGTAGATCAGGCAGTTTTCTGTTGGCAGTTGGATTCAAACATTGCTGGATTATCTTTGAGAGAATTTTACTCACGTGTGGTATCAAGGCTACGATTCAGTGATTGGAACAGTTTTTCATATCACCTTTCTTTGGAATAAATATCAACTTTTTCCATTATTTTGGGCACTGACCAGACTTCCACATAGTTTGGCAAAGCGCTGTTAGTGCTTTTGTTGGCAGTGGTCTCAGCAATTCTGCAGGAATTCCATCAACTCCTGGGGCTTTGGGGTTAGTCAACTGGTTGAGTGCCCACACTACTTTCTCCTCCAGGATACCAGGTTCCATTTTTGGTAGATCAGTTTCTCCTCTTATGGCTTGGCTTTGTTTTTTCTTTGTGTAAAGTTGTTCTGCATATTCCTGCCAGCTTTCTCTGATTGCTTGTTGGTCATGCAGTTCCTGTCCTTCATGTCTTCTGACCACAGCCTTTCTTGCCATAAAGGGGTTTCTGGCCTTTACATAAGTGGAAAAAGTCTCTTTTATGACCTCTCATGGCGCCTTCCTCCAGTTTCTTACATTGCTCAGCCCAGTACTTTGCTTTATATTTTTCTTGCCTCTCTCTGGAATTTTGTATTTAGTCTTCTCATTTCTTCTCTGCCACCAATGGCTTTTGCTTTCCTTGTCCCTTCTGCAGTCTCTATTGTAGCTTCTGATATCCATTTGGTCAAGTTCATTGGTTTCTTGTATATATTTTTGAGCTACTAGTTGTTTTTATTTCCTCCCATAGCTCATCTAATTGTCTTTCTGTGATGTTGAACAGTTCAAATCTGTTCTTAACTTCAACTGTATATGCCAGGAAAATCTTCTCAACATTAAATTTCTGAATCATGGGTGAATAGACGAATCAGATGTTTTCCTGCCTCATTTTGTTCACCAAGGCCAAACTTGCCTGTGATCCCTGTTTCTTCCATTTCCATCTCCCATTTTTGCTTTGAAATCTGCAATAATATCTTTCTTTGGTGTTTGTTTCAAAGTTTCCTGAATTTCAGCGTACTGCTGAGTCGACAGTGGGAGTATAAACTTGCAGAATTGTCATGTTGTGAGGTTTTCTGTTGATATGTATTGCCATTTCCTATCACTATTCAAAATCTATCTATGGTTCTGCCTTTTTTATGCAATATGAAACCCATTCCTCTTCTGATGGTATCACTGTCAGAGTAATATACTATATGACCATGAGAGTTGAATAAGCCATAGCCAGTCCAATGAATTTCATTGATGCCTAGTATATCAGTGTTTAGCCTATTCAATTCATTCTTAACAATGTTTAGCTTTCCTAGATTAAAGTCATTGATATTCCATACTTCTAATTTGAAGAGTGGAGAGATCTCTTTTCACTAGGAACTGTGTCAATAACTGGGGGGGTGGGCATTAGGATTTACCCAATCTGCATTATGGATACTCCTGCTACTATAATTGTCTCTTTGTTCTTCCTCTGTAGCTTTATTGGTATCTCCCAGCCAGGGGAACTCACTGCTTGGTACCATATCTTCCACATTTTTGAGTTGATCCATAAAGATCATCATCATACTTCTTTAATCTTCGGGAAATTATACATCATTTTACTATTGTACAGTACTAATGCTGGCTCTAGTTTAGGCCACACTGACTGATGTGCCCCCTATACTGCTGATGTGAAGACTTACATTTTTAGAATGATTCAGAAGGAGGGGCAGCATTGGTGCCCTTGAAGCTTTGGAACCTTAGACTAGTGCCTACTAGACCTTAGTGTAAAGGCTATTCTTCATTGTACAATTTAAAATACAGTAAAACATAAGCAAATAAAAGTATATTAAAATATTTAATATTAATATTAAACAGAGACCAGGCATAAACTATATTTGATAGATATATTGTAGAAGCAGAAGTGTGAAAGTACTGTACTGTACTGTACAGTCAAATAACAGTGTTAAAGGTTATCACTAGACCCATTAATATGAATTTGGCCTACTGGAGGGGAGAAGGCATGCCTATACCAGCCTAAACTAGCCAATAGGTCCACAGCAGATCCCATCCTGGACTACATCACCAACAATATCATTACTGAAGCAGCTAAATCAGGTACATGGCAGAAATTGACTTGGGAGAATAGAAAAAAGACCAAACATTTCAAAACAACATTAAACAACTTCCACTGAGGGCAAGGAATAAATTTGTGCTCGTCAGAATATCCTTCTAACCATAGCACAAATATGCTTATCATAATATTATCATCACCTGTCCATTTTTCAGGTTTCATATTCACACACCCAATTGTTAAATGATGATAGCAATTTACTAGGCTGAGTAAAAAACCTCCAAGGTCCCTTCCAGCTCTATTCTGATTGATTGATTCAGACATAATTGTTTAAGGCACCTTTTATTTCCAGCCAATTTATGCATGGAAGACATGACACTTCCCTTTTGATTTGTCTTACAAGAAAACTGTAAAGCAGTATGACGTCTGGCCTAGTAACCTGAGTATGAATCGAGCCCAGCAAGTGAGGGCAATGCAAAATTTCTGATATCTCAGAGCCTGGAGCAAAGGAATTTACTGAACCGTGAGCAAATAGCAAACTTACACCTTCACACCACAAGTTTCAGCCCTCTTATTTGTGCATGTATGCAAAAGACTGAGTTTGTGTCATAGCGCAATCTGCTTTCATCATTTTTATGAAAGCCTCCAATCCTGCAGGTGCCTCCCTGTTTTATTTAAGAATTATTTACTCTGATTCCATATAATAAAAATTTAAATAAGAAGTCCATAGAAAATGCCTTTGGGGACTTTGATAAAGACATGTTTGGTTACTTGCTGGAATTATCACACTCTTTTCTGTTGTCCTGTTCTGTTGTCATTCTGAAGTTGTTTCTCTTATATTCTTGTTTTCTCATACCTAAATGACTAAAGGCTGGAGACCAATAATTACTATTTCATAGGTATGTAAGGCTAGATCTAGAAAGCAGGCAATGGCAGACATTTCTGAAAATCCTTGCCAAGAAAACTATAGGGACTTGTCCAGGCAGTCTTCAAAAATCAGACACAATTGAACAGAAGAAAAAAAAAGGCTAGATACTATTACAATGCAAAATCATCTTGCCTTTATTGTGCAATCCATCTACTTAGAGAATTGCCTCTTAAGCTTTCATACATATATGTAGTTGTGGCAGTGACGTTCCATTACCTATTCAAGAGCTAAAATCTTGTTCTCATTCTTGACTCAACAATTGTTACCATCCACAGGTTCTGTTTGTTTTGTTTGTTTTTGGGTTTTGTTTGTTTTCAGTTAAAATGGGCCTGTACTTCTGTAGTTCTGTTCTGAAACCAGCAATGAAGTAATTCACACCTGGATTTGATTAGGAACAAGGAATCATCCACAGTATAGCCTGAAGTGAATTATTGAGACCTAATTTTATGGCTCAGTAACATCAGTAACTATGAGAGGGATTGAGATGTCCTAATGGACCACCACTTATGTATCAGCCACCAATATGTTGCAGCTGCCAAAAAAGCCAATGTAGTCCCAGGCTGCTTCAATAAAGGGATAGCATCAATATCACAATATTCCATACTGCACCAGTACTGCCACACTTGGAATACTGTGTCCAGTTCTGGTCGCCACAATATAAAACAGATGCTGTGACCCTAGAATGAATGCAGAAAAGAGCAATAAAGATGGTCTGGAGGCTAAACTATATGATGAATAGTTAAGGGAACTAGTCATGTCCATTATGTATGCATGTGCTTGCTTCCATAAGTTGTGGTACTCCATCGCTGGAGGTTTCTAGGTCCCTTCCAGCTCTATGATTCTGTGAAATCTGAAGATGGAAGTCCACTTTGTCCTTATTATACTCATAAGTATTTAATAAAAATGGATACAGCTTTTTTTCTGCAGAAATGATAGTTTGGTAACATGAATGTGTATCAACTCGACAGCAGGTGAACTTGTGATTACTGTTAGAGTTTGATATAAGATGGGCAGGTATATAAATGTCGCTGGATCCAATCTGGGTCAGTCACCGGGACCAGAGGTTTTTGTCTGACCCAGACTGGATTCTGCAACATTATTTTGGGACACATATATTCACCTTCACTTGTATATAAATGTTTTAAATAATAAAAGTAAAATTATAGGAGAATAGTTAATATTTTGCTTCCCATTTTAGCCACTGGAAATATCTATATTATGTAATTCAGTTGGTTGATTTGATTGTCCATGTTTGAAATAAAATCAGATCAAAATAAATAATTCCACAACTAAACACAAACATATTTTGAATAAAATGAATTATTTTAATCTGAAAAAATAATTTTCTCTATAAGTTGAATACATTCCATAATATTATTCCTTTTTAGTAATTTCAAACAGTATTGTAATAAATTAAAATCTTTATTTTATATAAAAATGCATTTGCTATTTAATCCCTCATAGTGTTCATTTTTGCAAAGTATGTGAATATAGTATATATTGTAACTAGAGATACACAAACATACACAAAAAAACATATATGTATTTAATAAATTATTTAATTAAATGCATTTCATTCTGAATTTCTTGTGTCAAAATTTTGATAAAACCCATTTGTTAACCAATACATTTGCCACATGGCTATAGTTTAAACAAAGTTTAAAAGAAAGCCAAAGAAACAATTCAAAATTATCAAAAGTGATAATTTTAATAATATGTAATGACTTTATCTTATCACATCTATGTAGCAGGGCTATGTAAATTTTAAAACTAAAAAAAAAAGTATTCTGGAAAGTCACATTAACAAGCCTCAGCCTATCAATAAGTTAAAATGCAGTAATTATTTTGTTTAAACTCCACAAAAACAAAACTTGGAAGACTGTGCAATAATTTTTATCCATGTGAAACTTAATGCTTACCCTTGATCACGTGCCCTTATTCGACTGTGGGTCAAAATCTTGTCATAATGAGCAGTGGAAGATTCTGCTAGATGAAGAAATGGCATAAAACAAATAGCAATTGTAACAACCCAAAGGAGGTCCATGTTTCTGTCTCTCTGTTTCTTGAACGTCTGAGAAGAGAACTGGCAAAGACTCTAGAGAGCTCAAAGTTTATATTCAAGATGCAAGACGGAGGGAGGAGAAAATATATCAACCTGAAACTTTGAACCACCCTCTGAGAAAAAGGAGCATCAGATGATTGTAACCTGTTCTGCATGTATGTGAATTACAAAGCAATCTATTCATTTTGATAGCTCCCATAAAATTAATTAGAGTTTATGATTATAGATTTAATGACAGTTTATAATGCAGCAAATTTAAAGTTTCTGGATAGCCTCACAAGTTCAACTGACTGAATGTTTTTCCATGCACTGATATATAAAACTTCTGGATAAAGAACATGAGATGCTACCTTTTTTCTAACATAGTTCTTTATGAGATATGAGTCTTCATTCTGCCTATAGAAAGTAAAAATGCCACATTACTTTATATTATAAGCATTTTAAGTACTCCTCTTCCAGAAGGATTAAACCAGAGTTAGTGCTAGTATTCTTCTTGATGTACTATACTACTTGATGTATTTTTTCCTGTATAAAATAACAAAGAAAAATAGGATATTTTAAGGAGAAACATGATATCTGGGAACCATCAGTCTGAAATAGTTAATTTTAGGGAAATTGTTTAATATATTCATCCTAATTTGATAAAACACATGTATTTATAGGTAATTCCAATAGGAGTAATAAATATTTAACAATGTGTTGTAAACAGTTGTAAAATATTGATTAATAATATTCACAATAAGTCAATGAAAAACTAGGAATACTGGTGCTCATAGTTTAAGCTACTTGGGAAATGATTTCACAATTTCCTATGTGGACAGGAATTGACCAAGCCAAGAGTTTTTCAAAACATCTGTTTTGTGGAACTTTAGGGTTCCATAAAAGATTCCTGGTGGAGACCACTTGAATTTTTTCAGTACTTTAAAAACATACAATAATCTGTTTCACATGAGTAAACTAGGAACATACAGTATATCTCCTCTATATTCGAAGAACCTTTGACTGTGGTATGCATGTAGAATCAGAATAACAGAATAACAGAGTTGGAAGGGATCTTGGAGATTGTCTAGTCCAACCCCTGTTCAAACAGGAGACCCTATACCATTTCAGACAAATGGATGTCTAATCTTCTCTTAAAAGTGACAGAGCACCCACAAATTCTGGAGGCAAGCCTTTCCACTAATTAATTGTTCTCACTGTCAGGAATTTTCTCTTTAATTCTAGGTTGGAGCTCTCTTGGATCTCTCTTCGATAATCTTCTATCCATTACTTCCTGTCCTGCCTTCAGGTTCTTTGGAGAATAGGCTTTTCTGTGACATCCCCCTCAAATATTGGAAGACTGCTATCATGTCATCTCTAGTCCTTCACTTCATTAGACTAGATATACCTAGTTCCTGCAATCATATATCATATGGTTTATCTTCCAGTCTCCTAATCATCTTTGTTGTTCTTCTCTGCACTCTTTCTAAAGTCTCCACATTTTTTTGTATCAAACCTGATTTTCCAAATGTGGTCTTACTAGTGAAGTATAAAGTAATGCTAACACTTTACATGATCCTGATACTATCTCTCTGTTCATGCAGTCTAGAACTGCATTGGTTCTTTTGGCAGCTGCAGCACACTGCTGGCTCATGCTTAAGAAGTTATTCACCAGAATACCCAGATTCCTCTCACAGTTACTGCTGTTGAGCCAAGTCCACCTATTCTATACCACGTGTTTGATTTCTCTTGCCTAACTGGAGTCCAAATATACTATGTCCATAGCATTGCGCTGGTCCACTAATTTAATCACTTTGTCAAATAATGCAATACGTTTTGTCCAGCATGATCTGTTCTTGACAAACCTAGGTTGACTTCTAATAATAACTTTGTTATTAGATGTTCACAGATCCATTGTTTGCATGTCTTTTCCAGGATCTTCCCAGGTATTGTTGTCAGGCTGATTAGTCTGTAATTTCCTGGATCCATTTTCCCCCTCTTTTTGAAGATTGGAACCATATCATATTTCCAGTCTTCTGGTATTCCCTGGGCTCTAGATCAGGGCTTTTCAACCATTGCACCACTTTTAGGATATGGCAATATCAGAGTACCACCAGTCACCTAGCAAGGTGTCAAAAACTTGATGACCAAAAAAAAAAAAAAAGGAAAAAGTGATAAAGTACAGGTAGTCCTCGACTTACAACAGTTCGCTTAGTGACTGTTCGAAGTTACAATGGCACTGAAAAAAGTGCCCCCAAGCCACAGCTGAGCAAGACACTTGCCTCCCTGCCTGGCGGCTCTCTTCCTCCTGTCCGAGGTTTTCATTGTTCTGAGCATTTCTGTTGAGGATTGGCAGCGAGGGTGGGGGGTGTTTGGTTTTTATTCCCCCCATCTGCTGGGTGGTTGCAGCAGGTTTTGGTCACTTCACATGGTCCTGGGACACTGTGACCGTCATAAACATGAATCAGTTGCCAAACATCTGAATGTAAATCACAAGACCCTGGAGATGCTGCAACATTCCAGCTGATCGGCGCTTCTTCTGGGCTCAGCAGAAGCAGCAGGATCAGCGCCGAGCTCCAGCTAGAGCCTGGCGCTGATCCTGGCGCTTCCGCTGAGCCCTGACAGCCCTGCAGCTCCAGCTGTCTCTCGCTCAGGCTTGTGCAGTGCTGCCAACGTTTCAGCTCATTCCCCTCCCCCGCTACTTTTCTAGGATGGTCGCGTACCACCTGCCAGGTGCCAATGTACCACAGGTGATACCCGTACCACTGGTTGAAAAGCCCTGCTCTAGGATCTTTGAAAGATGTGGTTCAATGGTTCTGAGATCACTTTACACTGCTACCAAATATGGTGCTGATGAGAGAGTAGGGACAATACTATTATTGGTATAGGACCACTTGATAACTCCTTTTTCCTGTGCTTTAATATGTGAGTGGTGTCGGTCCTCTCTCCCCTTCTGTTCAATATTTATGTAAAGCCGCT